TGGGCAGAGCATGGAGCAATATGTATGTAAACTAGGCATTGAAATAGTATCTGGGCTATCATCCGGGTTCACCCCCATTTTCCTTTCCTATCACTTCATACTAGGCTCACCCCCACCTTCTGTTTGTCACCTCTGAGACAAAGAGGTTGGTGGAGGTGTTCCCACAGGTGAGCCTCAGACTCTTTTACATTTGAAATAAATAAGCCTTGTTGGTGCTCATGAATATGTCTAGTTAGCCTCCAGGTGGTGTTCCTGTGTTTGAAGAAGACTGACCGTAGATATTCTTACTCAGTATTACTAAATGAAAGCAAAATACATAGTATAAAATACATACACATCCAGGGGTTCTCAAAGGATTCTGACTTTATAAATAAGTACCAGTGGGATGTCACCCTTCTGCAAAGGGCACTGGCTGCCGGGCTGGACTTCTTTCTGCTTTGTCACTCAGAATATGGATGTGCTTCAGAGGCAGGGCTGAAAAGCAGAGCACGTTTCTTTGAGTGTTGTCTTTCCTCATAGTTAAAAGTAACATTTTGTTCCCTGAATAGATGCTGGGCAGCTACTAGCCTAATTTGTTTAGCCCCCTGGGAAATGAGATATTTATAGTTTTTATAACACAGCTCCTACAACCCTATGTAGCAGTTCAAACCTAAGTCCTAGTTAATGGAGGTAAAAATGTGTTTCCATGAGCATCCTCCTCCACAGGCAGCCCTAGAGTGGCTAGTTTTCCTTCCTCTACCCCCTGCTGAAGTCACATGTTACATTCATGAATGTAACAGTAACTGAATGAGGAGGAGGATTCTGTCAATCAGCAATAGTAACTTGTGCTTGTGGACATGGTATTGGAGGATACCATGTTCATTGCTGTGTATGGGTGAGTTTATTTAGTTCTCACAGCCACCCTTTGGCATTGATATTTTTCTTTTTGCAAAAGAGCATGCAGTGGTGGGACACAGGGAAACACCTTGGTGTCATAAAGTAGGTGTGGATGGAGCTAGGGTTGGAGTAAACCCCATTTCACTTCAATGTCAACATCCATTCTAAGACATTTTGTTTCTTAATCAACATGATTTTTATGCTTTCTAATGCCTATTTTTGTGTCTACTTGATTCCTACTTGCTATACACACACACACACACACACAAATGTAGGAAGTGGCAGTCAAATGGACACAAAGACAGGCATTATCTACACACATGCACATGTGTATCTCTGTGTGAGTGTGTGCATAGATAACCTCACACACCCTTATTTTTAATATATACCGTGCCTCTTTGTAAGTGTTTAAGAAGGCTTCTATGATACTAACACTAGAGCTGACGGGGGAAGACCTGTACACATGGGAAAGGGGTAAATACTGTACCAAAGGCCAAGAATAAGGTGACAAGATATTTGCTGTGTTTAGTTTACCTTCAAACTTCCAGGTAGCCCAGGTAAGGAAAGAAGAATCCTTTTCCATTGCATATCTATATCCTGCTGAATGTTTCTTCCTATTCCTCCCTTGTGTGTCCACAGATTGTGGGCTTTTTAGCTTTAGAGAAGACCAAGTCCCCATCTCTCTCTTGAACAGAAGAGAAAATGAGGTGATCGGTCTTGAAGTCTCCAGTCTGTGCTAACCCCTGGTGGTGGGGCATCCCCTGTGTGTTGATGACGTTTTTCAGGGACTGGACCTTACCAAGTGATAGGTCATGGTGCACCAAAAAAAAGAAAAAAAAAAAAAAAAGGCAGGAGATGGGAAGCAAACCTTGGATCAGCAGGCTTTCCTTTATTTTGCAGTGAAGTCCATCATTCAGGCACGGGAGGGCTCATTTTCTGGGTGTGGAGATGGCCCCCAGGTTACAGAAGAAGTCTGGCTCTTATAGTTTATAATAAGGGTGACTTAGTTATTGGAAATTGCGGACATGCCGTTTGGACATTCAGGGGCCTAGTTGTATAGGTTGAAATTTTAACTCAGGAAGGCAGTTGTAAAAAGTTTGAAAACTCATTGTCTGGGACCCATTGTTACCTAGAGCTTCACTATTTGCTTTTCTCCTTCCAGAACTCCTCTGCCATGGGAAAGGGTAAAGTCCAGGGCCTAGAGTTTGAGTGCTCACCTCCTCCCTTCAGAACCCATTGTGTTTGGGAAGGGGTAAATATTTACTTTTGGTGGAGATGCTGGGGATGAACCCAGGAAGGGATATAAGTTTGCTTTTTCCCTGGGGCCCATTGTCACTGGGAAAGGATATACTGGGAGAGGTTTAATGTTTAGCTAATTTCCCCTCCCTCCCCCTGAGCCACACTGTCCCTCTCCCCCCCCCCCCCCCCCCCAATCCACATCAGATCTTGCTTGCAGGTGAAATTTGGCTCATTAATTAACAGGGCCACCTTGTAGGGCTATTTTAGCACCAGCTGAGATAACATAGATAAAGGGCTCTTGTCTGTACATGGCAAGCAATAAGTGCTCTGTCAATAGCATAACACACTCTGATTTCCAGGGACCTTATGGAGTTGTTGTTCATCTTTGTACCTCACATGCTTATTGACACTCAAATGGCAAACACTTCACCTGTAGGTGGAAACTGTATTACTGCTCCCTCCCTTCTCCTTTCTTTCCTGGGCTTAGAGAAAGCTACTCTGCCCAGCTTCCCATGCAGCTAGCAGTCATGAGACTTGTCCTGGCCAATGAAATGTGAGTGGAAGCCAGGGAGGAGCGAAGAAATAAGAATAGATAAGGAGAACACTAACAGGGAAGGGAAAGAGAATGCACCTTTAAATCTGAGAGGCTCCATGAACACCCTCACCTTTATTCTCCAAGCCTGTCTTCCTACAGACACAAATTCTTAAAATAACCTTGAATCTCAGAGTACTGAGTTGAGCTGATTAATACCTCCATACATTGCTAACTTGTACAGTGCTCTTTTTTTTTTTTTTTGACTAAATCCAAGGGAAAATATTGTTAGACACTTATGATATCAGGTGTATTTCAAATATTATCTGTTGACTGTATGACATCAACTATAGCTCCTGCAAGAACCACACCACAGTGAGCTGCCCCGTGTTCCATAATGAGAAGGACTGAGCTCACCAGGCTGATGGTACCCCCATGTGCTTCTTAGGCTATTTACAAGTTTTATATTAAAAGAAGAGCTTCGGGTCCCAGACATGTGTCTCACGAGCGCCCTCACAAGAACCCTTTGAATATGTATCCTGCTCTATTGCTTTTCTGAATAAATCTCCTGGATTTCTTAAACATTTGTGCCTCTTTTGATGCATCCTAAAATTCTTTTCTGTGGCATAAGTCAAGAATCTGCCAGGGTGAAATTGAGATCCCCTTCTCCCTTTTGGATAAACTTCCCAGACTCCTATCTGGTAAAACAAATGTGTCACTTCTAGCTGAGAGGTTTAAAAAACTTCTGTAGGAGTGTCCAGTGACTGCCCTGAAACAATATCTTGGAGCTTCATGGTGAAGGAACTATGTTCCAAGATGGGAGAGCTCTGTGAGCCTAGAGTGTTGGCTGGATGGGGTAAAATCCTTCCTTAACTTCTGCCACCTACTATCATTCATGCATACCCCATTCTGGATGTCTAATATGAGCCCGAGATAAAAATAAACCAGTGGAGCCAGTAGTCGGTATGGCATACACATGTAATCCCAGCAGCTGGGGAGGGTGAGGCAGGAGGATTTCAAGTTCAAAGCCAGCAAAAGCAAAGCACTAAGCAAATCAGTGAGACTCTGTCTCTAAATAAAATACAAAATAGGGCTGGGGATGTGACTCAGTGGTCAAGTACCCCTGAATTCAATCCCTGGCACTCAAATAAATATATAAACAAGTGGAAATTTCTATGGATTTATTGCTTAGCTCATCCTTTCTTGACTAATAGACCACTTCGGTCAAATGATTCCTGATATTCAGAGGCAAATTTGATACAATGAAACAAATATCCCAATTTCTATTGAATTAAAGTTAGGGCTTGTAAAATTATGACAACAACTCTGCTTGAACTATTATTGAGAAGTCATAACCTTGCATCCAACAAATACAGAAGCCATGTTCATCGGAGTGAGGTCTTTGTTATGCTACATGTTCTTTTCTACTGTAGTTACATTTAGATCTTGGAAATGTAGAAAAATAATTTGTGTCTTACCACAAATGTATCAAGTAGGATAAAGCCTACATATACAGAAATACATATTGGACAACTTCGATTCAGACTAAAGATGAATCTGGGTATGGTCTGGGGTTTTTAGAAGGCTACCACACAATTTGCCATCTTTGAGAAGTTGAGAGATTTATCTGGAAGGTTCTGCATGGGTCCTCTGTGCCTGTAGAAATCACATCAGGATCTCTTCCCTCATCTGGACATTGGTCAGCATTTGTCAAGGAGAATGCATTGCTTTCCAAATCAGGGGTCCAAATCTACTTGCATCAGCATCCCCAGGAGAGCTTGGAATGCAGATCTCCCCAGAATTTCTGATTCCATAGTTCTGGAACCAGACTTGAGAGAATGTGAATTTCTTATAAGCTCTCAGGTGATGCTGTTGCTGCAGATCCAGGAAGCACACTCAGAACCACTGCTCAGAGCTTTGTTTGTCCAGGTATGGTCTATGGATTGACAGCATCAGCATCCCCTGGGATGCAGAGTCTCAGGCCCCACTCCAGACCTGTGGAATCAGAACCAGGTGAGTGGTATTACCAGGGAGGTGTGGAAAGCATCACTGTGAGGGAAAGAGGTGTTTTCCAGCACAACAGGATATTAGAGAACCCAGCTGCTACCAGTAGTGGTTCAGACCTTCCAAGGTCAGACCTGCTGGTTTCTGCTTTGTGATCTCATGGTGAGTGTTCATGCTCTTCCAATATCTAGGTGCAAGTGAACATCCTAGAACCCATGCCCATTGTAAGTTACCTCCTGGCACAAACTGCAGCAGGGGCTCTGGTGCCTGCACGGTATGCTCTGCAGTGTGGTGTGTACTGAGTCTAAATCCCAGCTTCACTACTTCATTGCTTTATGTCTTTTTATAGGATATGCACCCTCGGCTTCCAGCTAAAATGAGCCTAATTGCAGCATCTACCTCAAGGGATTGCTGTCAACATGTATGAAATTCTGGGAACAATTTTGGGCAGAGTAACTATACCTTAAATAACAGCCATGGTCTGCAAAGCTTTTCAAGTCTGAGCTTCTCTCCTGATTTCTTATCTTCTTTGACTAAACCCAGAATGTGAGCTGTGTTGGTGGCTGAACTGGAGCATAAGGGTCTCATTCATCTTTGTATCAGCATTAGGCACAAGACCTTCCATGCACGAGGTGCTCAGTTAGTGGGGCTGATGGGGTAACCCTGAAGTGTGCTTGCCGCAGTCTGGCTGGGCACAAATCACGAGCCACTGAAGCAGGAAAAAACTTTATTTCTGAACTCCACCAGCACACTCCACACACGCTCCCGGGAACTCCCCCGAACGCCACGCAGCTCCTCCAGGAACCATCAACCAGAAATCCCTGGTCCGGCACTTCCCCAACCAATGGGAACTCTCTGGGAATCCCCTCAGAACTCCAAAGTAGCAGGCGGAGGTGGACAGCAGGGGTCTAATATTACAGTTGAATACACAGCTTAACATAACCATCATCATCCCAAAGGCCTGCTGGCGTCACCTCTCAACCACTCCGTATTGGCAAAATGCCAGGCGTCATTCTGACTGGGCTATGGCTCTCAGCATGTGCTAACTCTACTTATCAGGCTGGGAAGGGGCTTCTCAGGAACACACGCAAATACAAGACTAAGAAAGAACTAGTGTTACTGAGCAGGACATGGTCTCCTCAATCCTGAAAGCGAATTCTCTATGAGATGCAAAGTCAAGGTGATGCCTGGATCTTCCACCAGCCAAATATTAATGAAAGAAAGAAAACCCAGTCCTGGCCCTCTCTGGGCTCCAGAGACATCATAGACTGTCAGCTCTTTAGCCCCGAGGAACTGCCTGCCCAGTGCACCCCAGGACCTGGCAGAGACTCGGCTCCAGTCCAGCCCAGTTCAGCAAGAATCGCCCTCCCCTTCTTGGCAACTTCACTGTTGCCCCTCACTCTGCCCGCCACTGTCCCTCCCAGCTGCCTTTGCTGTTGAGCCTGACCTCTCCTGACACTATTGCCACGGTCCTGATCACAGTCTTCTTTTCCATTTTAACATGTCACTCGTTAATGACCCCCAGACCTGAAGGGCAGTAGGTGGCTGACCTGATTCTGTGTCCTGTAGGCGCTGTCTTGGCGTCCACTTTTAGATCTGACCTGGCTTATTTGAACGAAGTGGCAACCTGCCACCTATGGCCTGGTTGAAACGTCCCCTGGCCTTGGGGTGCTGTGTGGTACAGGCTGCTTGCTCCTCCTCTCACCCCAAACCCAACATCCCACAGCTGCTGAGCATGGTGAGGCCTAACGCTCCACACCAGAGTCCTATAAATGGGGGCCTTTACCTAAGGAGCCAGCCGCCCGGCTGGAGGTCTGCAAAATGGCTCCATCCTAAACCTGGGCCTGGAGGCCGCTCTCTGGTTCCCTATCCACTGCTGGAACCTTCAGAATCCCATCAGCTTCCGGCTGGCACCACAGCCTCTCCCAGATCTGGGAGTAACACAGCTTTCACGGGGCTTCACCTCCTCCTGTGGCTCACCCAGGACACACCTGGACTAATTCTCCTGGTCAGGGCTTTTCTAGAAAATGGCTAGCCTCCATGGCTGGTGTCACCCCCCAGTGAGAAGCCATTCAAAACCAAATTAGAGGAAAGCACAGCAGTGACCTGTGATTACATGACACAGGAGAAGGGAGGCAACATTAAAGAGTGTGGTGTTGGGATTCAGAAGCTCTGTCCCTTCCTAACTGTGTGACCCTCCCTCGGCAGATTATTTAAACTCCCTGAATTTCACTTTGTCTCACCAGGAAAATGGACAGCATGGTTCTACTTACCTTGATGGTTTGTTTTGAGGCTTACGCGAGTTGATGACTGCATTTAGCACTGGGTCTGGTACCAAGCAAGTATTTCAAAAATTTAGAAAAGAAAAATCATGATTTCCCAGTCATACTTGAGTTTGCAATTCACCCCACCACCTGTCAGCCACACCGTCTTGAGTATATTGTGTCATATCTCAGAATCTGTTTTTTTTTTTTTTTTTTAATGCGATGATCTCTGTCAAGTTCGGGAGGCGTGACGAGGCATCACTGAAATCCCCCATAAAACAGACAACCCTGCACCTGCATGCTCCTTCAGAAAACGTAAACCCAGCACAAACTACACATGAAACGCTGCAGTGCAGTGATCACATGGCCCCATCCCTCCCCCACGGCTTAGGCTCTCATGGTAGAGACACACGATTCAACTGATAATCAAAGGAGTAAGTACATAACTTCCCACAGCAGAAGGTGTCTCCGAAGGGGACATACAGGGAGCTCTAAGTATAACGGGAGGAACAGAAGGGTGGATTCTGAGAACAGAAACATTGATGATGGGAGTTGGTAACCCAGCACTCAGGAAGCTCCCCCCGGAGGGGGGGAGCTCAGAGCATTGGTGGATCCAAGAGAAGACCAGGGGCAGGCTTGGAAGGGCCGGGAGGGAGGAGGGCCAGGTCGTGCAGGGTTTGGTGACCACATCAAGGAGTTCTGGGTTGCGCTTCCATTGCAAACGAAGCATTCGGAGCATCATAGCGGCCCCCTGAAGATCTCCCCTTTCACTGCCATATTTTTGAAAACTGTGTTTATGGCGCAGCTGGATCCAGGAGGCTTTGTTTTGTGATTACTTGTCTTGCTAACAGCTGCGGGTCCCTCCAAGAACTGTTTACCTAATTGGGTTAGGCTGGTGCGCAGACAAATGGGCTTTGATATGATAAATGGCCCAGGAAAGTGAAAGGGGAAGGCAGACACGGCGCTAATTTCCATTCTATCCCGGAATAAAGGAGAAAGGTCGCTGGCTGTGAAAAGCCACCCGATTAGAAGCAGGTTTCTGATTGTCAGCCTGCTGGGAGATCATCTTGTCAGCAGGACCCACCCGAGGGGAAATAATTTGCAATTATGCAGCAGCCTTCCTCTTGGGACACACAAACCCTTTCTAGATGTTTCCCTAAACCGGGAGGCGGAGAGGCCGCGGTGTCTGTCGTCATTTTGCAATTAAAAAGTCATCTTAGAAGAACTGCTTTCATAATCTTCCTCACGCTGCTGGATGGTAAAGCTTCTCAAGACCGTGTTTGGGGAGGGAAATGTCACCCGATCCCGTTGTGAACACCCCTCAGTTGCTTGCCTAAATGACAAGAAGCGCGTTTCCACCCTGGCTGGTGGCTCACGTTCTGAAGCAACGTCGCTTTGGTTTCCTGTTCAGTGAGGCACCATCTGATTATTAGAACAAACGTCGTTTAGCCCAGGCTTCCTCCAGAACCCGCAGTAACTTGCAGAGCCCCAGAGGTCAAGGGAGAAGTTCATTTATAAGCGAAAGTTCACTCTGGAGAGTAGAGAGGGCTGCTGCAGTGGGTAGCAGCTCAAAGCCCTGCACACCATCAGCAGAACTTGCTTTCTTAGGCTGTGCTAATTCTCCCTTTTCTCCCCTGCGTGGATCTGGGGTGGATTGTCGCCTTGATTGACAGCTGAATTTTATATGATTTCTCTTCTACTGCCCAGGAGTTTGGTTTTTCCCTCCAGAAAACGCAGAGGGGGAGCAATCTGCAATGCTAATGATGGGATAAGTAGCAACAGGTTCACTTTGTCAGTACCTTGGACTCTTGCGCATGCCCAAGACCGGGGCTTCCCTTCCTGGTCCTGAATTACCCTTGTGGTTGTCTAGCTTTTCCGCTTCAACTGCAGGATGACCCAGTTTCCCCTGTCTGGAAGAGTCTTCTGGTGGAGTGTTGTGAGGGCCCTGGGTGGAGCTGAAAGCCCTAAGGGCTGGTCCCTTCCCCATCCCCCACTGCCTGCCTAACAAGTGCTTCCTCCTCTTGTCTCAGAAATCTTTCCAAAGCTGAGACCAGGTTCTCCATCTCCAGTGAGCACCAAGCCTCTGTGCCAGGGCTTAAGGTGCGGGTTCCTGTTAGGAGCCCTGAAAACATGAAGGCTCTAATCTTGGTTTTCAAAGCCACCAACGTTGCCTGACTTTGGAAAAACCATGTAACTTCTATGAAACCTTTTTCTTCCCATTGTCCATTGTTAACCTTTCCAAGAGGGTTAATAGCACAGAAGGTGATGACATAAGTCTTAGCAGTCCACAGAGGGAGGTGCGTATCTAGGGAAGGGTTTGTTTTTATACTCTTGGTTACAGTTTAAACAGACAGATTAAAAGTAACACAGGAAAACAAACAAACAAACAAACAAACATAGGGCAGAATCCAGGACAAACCAGGCAGGCACTTGCAGATGTCCACTCCCAACGGAGTTGTGTGGACACTGTTTGATTCTCTTACCAGCAATGGGTGACAAAAGGCCTGAGGGAGGACCCACTGGGGAAGTTCATTCAAGCCTCACTGAAGCATGGAGCATCTGTGATCTGTGTGGCTCAAGTCACTTTGCTCAGTGTCTGCTGACCCTCCTCCAGAGGTCACATTGAGTTAAGCACTGCCCAAAGCTCCCACCATAAATCACATTGTTGACCTGGAGCCCAGGGATACCAGGACACCTTAGTGGGTCAGCCACCATGGAGTTGGGAGGCTGTCTTCCAGGAGCTGGACCCAAGCTAGCCTTCCCTGGAACTGCATGGGTTGCACCTCCCAAGCCAGAGGAGGCAACCCTTGTGGGCAACCCCCCAAGCCATGCCTGTCCTCTACAGCAGCCTTGGCTCGGACTTACCCACATCGTCCACAGTTTCATTGATCAACATTTTTCTTGCTCTCAAACCGTCCTGTGACATTCTTTTGATTAAGTGCATTTCCAAAACTCGCCTTTAATGAGCATTTCTTCGTGGTAACTTCTCCGATTGTGTTTCTTTTAACATGTATTCATTTTGTCCTCATTCTTAAATTGGAATTTAGCTCGATTTAAAATTTGGAGTAAAAAGTTGTTGTTGTTTTTTTTTTTTTCCCTCACTAGAGATGTCACTTCATGCTATTCTAGGTTCCATTTTCATTATTAAGCCATCACGGGTTTAATTGTAAATTTTCAAAGATGACTTCCCTTCTCTGTTTTCATGCTTCTCTTTTCCAGTAATTTTGCAGTGT